GCTTTTTTTTTTTTTTTTTTTTTGGATATCTGATTGATCAGAACCAAATACCCAAAGTCCGGTGTGTTTCTAAGACATCTACATCAAGCTACAGAACTTTCTAAACGCACCCTTTAAAGAGTGTTTTTGTATCCAGAACCGTCTGAAGGACTCCGACCTTGTTCATCATGTGTTTATGCATGTCTTACTGTGTTGAGCAGGGCCTCTGGACTCTTCTCATCATGCTCAGCTGCAGCTTTGCTGATGGCTCTCTCTGTGTCTTCCTGCAGGTGTTTGGAGTCTCCGGTGGGCGACTGCTGCTCCATGTACTCTAGGTCATGCTGTGAGGCTGTTGAGGGAGCAGAGAATGAGTTCCCACTAGTTAAGAACAGTTGTTTCAGAAGGTATGGCCACAGATTCAGACATGTGAAAGGTTCACCTGTGTTGTCTGGAGGGCAGGGTTCAGTGCTCATAGGTTGGGCGGCCACACTGGCGGCGGCCAGAGCCAGTTTCTCCTGCTGGAGTTTGCGCGCTTGAAGAGTGTCCCACTCCTCCATCTCTCTCACAAAGAGCTTGTTATCTGCCTCCACATACTCCTTTAGATCAGGAGGGAGCTTGTCCAAGCCGCTGAGCATCTGCCCTGTCTCTTTATCAAACTCCTCTGAGAGACACAGAAGCACAGAGCCATTTCACACACACATGGATCTAAATGAGAACACATCTTACCTGCAATTTTTTTTAAATAAAGCCAATTATGATTACGACAGACAGTTTGAAACTGATCACTACACCTTACAGAAAACTTTAATTACAAAAAAAAAAAAACACTACTTCTTTGAAAACACCCTGAACAGGAGGTTGTCATCATATTTAGCAAATCTTTAAAGATACAGATAAATACAGATAAATAAACAAATTATGGAAGAATTGGAGTGTCAATTTATTAATTAAAAAATGTAAATAAAAATTCTCAATTTGTCAAAGAAATACACACACTTTAAAGCTGTTCAAAATATAGTTAAATGAGACAATTTTGCAAACTGACAAATAAAACCACTTAAAACATTTTAAATCATGTTTGCAACAATAAAATAACATTAATAATAATAATTAATTAATTAATTGATTAATTAAATGCGCTGTTTTAAACATTTATTTTGCAATTTGAAAAGTAATTTATTTAAATTGATCACTGTGATGAGGGGGGCGGGGCCGAGAGCCGTGGGAACGGAGCGAGGCCGGTGGAGTAATTGATAATGTGCGACACCACTCACCGGTCTCGAGTCTCACGGAGGAGCTCCGGAAGGATAAAAAGGAGGGGTGACGACAGTGAAAGACGAGAGAGGACCAGGCCTGGATTTTATTTTGTGTTTTGGTTTTGTTTGTGCGCGACAGTCGTCCGCGAGGGGCTGTCGCGCTATTTTGTGTTTGTTTATTTTATTAAAGTTTTGTTGAAGTGTTTGCCGGAAAATAGAAGCTTTTAGATTTCACTACTCGGCTCATTACCTGTATTGATAACTCATAAAAGACTAATTAATGTGGAAACTTGCATTTGCAGGTTAGGTTACCTTCAATAAGGAAGGGCTTTTTATCATCAATGTACATGAGGCAGTATGCGCTGGCATTGCGATATCCACCGAACGAGTCTCGCACCAGCTCCTCCCAGGATGACTTTGTCACTGAAATGTCATTGTATTTCATCCATTGCTGTTGATGTGGGTCGAAGATGTATGCCCAGTAGTGACCTGCGTTAGCCTGACCCTCGTGGACCAAAACAGCATGCAGCCGGTACGGCACCTGAAATGCATCATCATGAACAAGATGAACTCATTCTGGGGTCATTTCCGAGATGGTTAGAAAACTATCAGAGATCTCAAAAAGCTTCTCACCTGCATCATGGACTTGTCAGAATACATAAGCTCGATGGTTCTGTGGATTCTAGATATACTGGCCTGCAGGTCTGACACACACCAGACAGAAACATTACTACACATTTACAGAAATATAAACGTACAAAGCCCAAAGCAGTAATAAGCATATGTTTGCATGCATGCGTGTTTGTACCCCTGGTGTCATTCTCCACCTCGCTCCTCCAGCGGTGCAGACAGCCCTCCAGCACCCGCAGCTCCTCCTCTGTGATGTGCCGTGGGGCGGGGTGCATGGGTAGATCTGGGGGCACACGAGACTGAGTGAACGGTTTATGGATTGAAACCCGTTGCTGTTGCTGGGCCTGTGGACCAGAGCCGGAGCCCTCGGCTGGGACAGATGTATCCGGCTGCTCCCCTGTGCTGAAGTCCATGCAAAAAACACTTTAATATCTCATAAATGTATTATAGAAAAAAAAAAAAAAAAAGAGCTATTCAAAATACATTTTCAGTCTTGGAACAGGTGAAAAAAACTTGCCTTGCTGGAGGTGGCAGCTGTGCAGTCGTGCCACCAGGTAGTGCTGTTGTATCAACGTCCTCCAAAGGCGACGTGCACACAGGCTTGCTGGACGCAAACTCCATGGCATACTGAAGAACATCGGCCAGAGGAAACCGCTTGGGCCCTGAGCCATAGCTCAGATACCTGAATTTTAAGAAAAACGGATCTCAAATGAGAAAAGGGTTAGTTTTCTATCACCAACAGCAGAAATATGAAACAGAAAGTCAGTCAGTCAGTATCCTCTTACTCAGGAAATTACAGCCAAAACTCAGCATGTGACTTTCATCTTTCTATTAACAATCTAAAAGCTGCTTTCATCTTGAAAGCTGAAATTTTCCTGCTATGCAAGTTAACAGCAAGTTACCTCTAGATCAGGGCGGAGGCTAAATAGAGTTAACAAACCTCTCAAGTCGCTGCTGGAGAATGGTCAGGTGCTCCTTTAGTCTTCTGATCTCCTCTCGTTTTATCCGTGTGATGTCTCTGTTCCTGTCCATGTACCTGGAATCAACCGCACAACATGCAGTTTCACTTAAAATTCGAAGTATTTTGTGTTGCATATACAGGATCCTTATTATTTGATGACGCATCAAGAAACAACTTATTGTAAAAATGATAAAAAGCCCTTCCTTATTGAAGGTAACCTTATTATTTGATGAAGCATCAAGAAACA